ATGAATAAGTTACAAAATTATGCTAAGTAAAAAAACTCCTGTAATCCCAGCACTTTGGGAGGCCAAGACAAGTGGATTGCCTGAGTTCACGGGTTCGAGACCAGCCCTGGCAACTTGGCGAGACCGCGTCTCCACAATAAAATAAAAAATAGCTGGGCATGGTAGCACGCATCTGTAGTTCTAGTTACTCGGAAGGCTGAGGGGGAAGGATCACTGGAACCCAGAAGGTTGACACTGGGGTGGCCATGAGAGTACGTGCCACTGCACTCCAGCCTGGCTGAAGGAGTGAGACTTCAACTCAAAAAAAAAAAAAAAACTTTACAGTATGGTGGCAAGAAAACAGGCTCTCTCATATACTGCTGGTGGAAACCAATTGGTCTAATCTATATGCAGTGTAACCTGACAACATCCAACAAAAACTAAACACACGTATACCTTTCAACCCAGCAGTCCCACTTCTAGGAATCTATCCCAAAGATACACTCCCAACAACATGAAAATATATTTTCACAAGGTTATTCACTGCAGTATTGTTTTAATTATAAAATACTGGACACAACCTAGATAATATCCAGTTATAGAAAATTGCTTGAGTAAACTATGACACGTGCATAGTGAAAACTACGCGTTTGTATGAAAATGAGCACATGGGGCTGGTGGGAAAGAGAATGAGTTACTGTTCAGTTTGGGAAGGTAAGTTCTGGAAGATGGAAGAACAATACACTTAAAAATGATCAAGCTTGTGTTATATAAGAATCGCTACAATTAAAATAAAATGAGGTCGGACATGGTAGCTCATGCCTGTAATTACAGCACTTTGGGAGGTCAATGCAGGAGGAATGCTTGAGATCAGAAGTTTGAGACCAGCTTGGGCAACACAATTAAGACTTCATTTCTATTTAATTTTCTTAAAAAAATGTTTAGGCCAGGTGTAGTGGCTCACACCTGTAATCCCAGCACTTTGGGAGGCCGAGGTGAGAGGATTGCCTCAGCACAGGGGTTTCAACACCAGCCTGGGCAACTTGACAAGACTTCGTCTCTACAATAAAATAAAATAAAAATTAGCCGGGCATGGTGGTGCTCGTCTGTGGTTCCAGCTACTTAGAAGGCTGATGCAGAAGGATCGCCTGAGTACAACAGGTCGAGGCTGCAGTGACCCTGAGTGTGCCACTGCACTCCAGCCTGGATGACAGAGTGAAACTTCTACTCCAAAAAAAAAAAAAATTAATGAAAAGTAAAATTAAGGCCGGGCACGGTGGCTCACGTCTGTAATCCCAGCACTTTGGGAGGCCAAGGTGAGACAATTGTCTGAGCCTACAGGTTTGAGACCAGCCTGAGAAACTTGGTGAGACCTCATCTCTACAACAAATAAAAAAATTAGCCGGACATGGTGGCACATGCCTATAGTTCCATCTACTTGGAAGGTTGAGGCGGAAGGATCACCTGAGTCCAGCAGGTTAAATAAATAAAACCAAAATTTAATCAATGGAAAAGATCTCTTTGGCATGATATGGCACTATTTCCAGCAGCTATCAGTTAATTGGGGGGAAAAAGTGAAGTCCAGGAGGATGGACAGGGGTGTGTGTGTGCATACACTGTATAAAACTGTGCAAAAAATAAACAAATAAAACATGCATACATCTGCTTACCAAAAAAGACTCACTAGGAGGATAAACCAAGAAACACAGAAGTTGGCTACCTACAGAAAATAGGGAAAATGGTGTGGAAAGGATACAGAAGGCAATATATAGCCGGTGTATAGTTTGGACTATTGATAGCATGTTATTACCCTACATATTTTAAAACAAAACATTGCACTCAGAGCCCTTCTCATAGGAAATAAAAATAAAAGTCAGAATAGGAAGAAACATAAGCAAACAAGTAAATGAACCTAATTTCATTTCAAATAAGCACCATAACCAGACGATACAGAGTGTAAGGTGGGAAGAACAGGAGAGGAGGGCCAACGAAAGCCATTGAAAACACAATTTTAACCATTTACCATTAGGAGAGAGTCCTGGTAGGCCTGGCGGAATGGGGGAGAATTACAAACAACTATACAGAAAACACACATATGCCTGTTTCTGTGAGCATGTATACAGCCGGTTCTCCACCTCCTGGGGTGCTGCCTCCAGGACCTCAATCAACTAATGATTGAAAAGACTCAAAACATAAATCTAAAACAGTAACAATGCAACGATAAAATACAAATTTTAAAAATACAATGTAACAATGATTTGCATATAGCATTTACACTGTATTAGGTATTATAAGTCATCTAGAGATAATTTAAAGTATAGAATAGGTTGGAATCAATTATATGCAAATACTGGGCCATCTTAGAGTTGAAGGTACTGGAGCATTCGCAGACTTTGGTACCTGCAGAGGGTCCAAGAACCACTCACTCCCAGACACGGAGAGATGATTATATATGTATGAGTATATACATGAATGCATATATGTGTATAAACACACATATATTTTCTAGCTCTATCCACTAAAAGGGCCAGAATGAGAAGATAACCCAGGAGTAATGAAGACACCCACCACGATCCAAAACTCTTCCCCACAAGGACACAGAAGCCCACTTACAGGAGCTTCACTGGCCAAATCTAGGACAAACTGAACACCAAAATAATTAAGAGGAGTAATGAATTGTAAACCATTTAAAAAATAGGAATGCATGAATCCATACCAACTGATAGGGCTCTTGATTACAGAATAAGGCCAAAAGATGATTGGTAGATGTGACAAAAATGCTAGAATGAGAAAATGGCCATTTTGCAACTACTACAGTAAAAAATGAGATCAGACAAGAATCAATGAATGCTAAGTCTAGAGGAAATTATGATGAGAATCAGAATTCCCCACTGTCTCCCCACAGACTGCTTACTGCTTAGTGAAAAAGGGAATAAAACTACTGTGGAAAAATGTGGCAATGCCTTAGACAAGTGATCAAAATTAACATCACAATGAGGGACAGATGGACATTATGTGCCTCCAGAAACTTCTCAGGGTATCACGTCACAAGAATATAGAACACTTCAATCTAAACACAAGAAGTCTTCAGGCAAACATAAAATGAAGAACATTTTATTAAAGGAGGTGTGGGGCAGGGGAGACAAGAGATTTGTAGTCTTCAAAAGTGTCAATGTCATAAAAGATAAAGAAAGGCTGTGAACACAATCCCAGAAAAAAAGGAAGCTAAAGAGAAACAATAACAAAATGCAGTGCCTGACAGGAAGCATACAAAATGCTATCAGGTCAACTGATAAAGTTGGAAAACGGACAACAGTCTTACATTCATGTCTGTATATGAAGTAAACTGTACAAGAGTTACAGGAAAGAATGATCCTATTCTCAGGAAATACCACAGAGGTATTAGGGGACAGAAGCACAACATATATAACTTACCCTCAAGGGGTTCAAAAAGCAATCTGTGTGTGTGTGCGTGTGCTTCCCTGTGTAGACAAAGAGAGGAGAGCAGGGGCACACGAGTGACAGACAATAAAGCTGGCGGGTGACTCTAGAACAAGGCCACCTAGAGGGTCGTTACATCTTTGTAACTTTTGTAAATGTGAGATTATTTCCAAATAAAATATTTCTTAAAAAATAAAAGCTGTAGAGACTGTTCTCCGCTGTATCCAGAAGAGAATGGGTATATATCATAACTAGCTGAGGGATTTGCTAGGGAAACAGCAAGAGCTGAGGCTAGTGGCCTAGATAGATTTTCAGACAACACCATTTAAAATGTTGGAGAAAGAGCTTGTACTTTATGTGTAAGCCAAGGAAAGGTAGCACAAAGCACAGAGCACAGCAGAGGCTTGGCTAAAGGAATATATTTAATAAAATCTTCTAGCCAAATTATAAGTGGGTAGACACACAGATAAGGAAGCAGTAAAAGGACATGAACAAATACAATCGTGAAATTATGGGGTCCTGGCCTAGGAAGCTAAAATTAGAAACAGAAAGTGGAACAAATGCATGAAAGAGACATGAAAATACAAAACCAGATAAAGCCTGTTTACTAAATCTATCAAAGGTTAGTAGGATTCAAAAATGACTCAGATTTCAAGCCTGGCTAACCAAGAGAATGATGGTATTGCTAACTAAAAGAAATTTAACTAAGCAAAGAATAATTGCTTCCTTGGCTATAGGACAATTTTCTCTATTCTCATTTTTCCTACTCTGATGCAATATTAAAAGTTAAGGAAGGGTTATGTGTTCCAGCACAAGCAATACAGAGAAATTAGATTCCACAAGGTGAAACAGTAAATCCAACTTGGGCTGATTCAGATTTCGACTAAATGTCCTTAAAATGTTCACACATAAGGAAAAGGGGAGAGTGGTCTCCTCTTGTCTCTCCAAATTATGCTTGTGTATGTATTTATGTGTATACACATATACGTATACGGCTGACCCTTCAACAACATGTTTGAACTGCACTGATCATTTACACACAGATTGTCTTCCATCTCTGCCACCCCTGAGACAATTAAGACCAACACCTCCTCTTCCTCCTCCTCAACCTACCTATGAGGAAAAGGATAAAAACCTTCCACTTAACGAAGAGTAAATATATTTTTTCTTCCTTATGATTTTCTTAGCATTTTATTTTCTCTATCTTACCTTATAGTAAGAATACAGGCAATAATACATGTAACATACAAAATATGTGTTAATCAACTGTTTATATTATCAGTCAGGCTTCTAATCAACAGTAGGCTACTCGTAGTTAAGTTCTGGAGGAGTTAAAAGTTATATACAGATTTTTGACTGCAAGGGGAATCGGTGCCCCACCCCCAAGTTATTGAAGGGTCAACTGTATATACATATATATATTCATCCTAGCAATCCAAGCCCATTCATTCAACTAACATTACAGTTAAAGAGAAAAACGTGAAGTATAAAATGAGTTTAAGTTAAAGGAGAGAGCAGAATGTTTAGAAGGTTGAAAACAAAAAAATTCAAAAGATCAAATTAATGTAAAACTGTATTACCTGGCTAACCAGTCAAACGACGTTCAAGTAGGAGTTTATTTTTATTGGTCTCTGAGTCCACTGTTCAGCACGCATTTTGACCCTAAGGACAAAAAAGGGGGGTTAAATTTTATTGCCCTTTTTTGTATAAGCATTATTACTGGTCACACACAAATTAATTCTTCTCATCTTTTCCTTCCCTGGACATCTGAAACAAACAAAAGTTCTGCCAAACAAAAGCTATCAAGCACAATGCCTCTTCCTAGGCATTTGAGTAGATGCCTAATTTTGCCATACATTGCACTTTAGCTTAAAAAGTCAGGCATACCATACACAATACACTCTGTCACAGTTTATAAACATGGGTAATGCCAAATGAGGATGGTAGAGACCAGCTCCAAGTCTTGAAAAGTGATCAAAACAGATGGGTACTCAACTTGTAGATCTCCTCTCTCGTCCAAAATAAATGCTCAACAGAGAACAAAGACAACATTAATACCCTGGCAGAAGTAATTGGTTAAATATCTTAGTCCACAAATTACTGGATGGAAAGACGGATGGATAAAGTGGAGGGGGGCGAGACGCCAAATGTTTTCTTGCCCTCTATAAAAGAATGCATCTGGGTCAGCAAAAATAAATATTTTTACATGGGGAAATGGAAGCAGTTCTTCAAAATCATCTGCAATAAAATACATGAATCTATATATAGGCAGCAGGCTTTTGCACTTGAAGACTGGGGTGCAGTTTCTGGTGCTATAAACAAGCCAATAAAAACATTCACCTTATGTTATGAATTTCCAAATGTTACAATAAAGCAACAATCTGACTGTCCTAATTCTCCTGGCATCTATATAAGTTCCCATAACTATGTCTAAAATTAATGGTATTCATGTTAGATAGGCAGGTCTCTTCGTATTGAGGAAAGAAAACATGATATATTACCAAGTTCCAACTAACAAACATTTTACAGCCATGGTTGTTCCACACAGAGTAGGCAGGGCACAGCTAACCACCAGATTAGCTGCAGGAGGTAAAAGGTCTGTTGCACTTTACCAAAATTAAACAAGAGAAAGTCAGGGAGGTAGTAATGGGGAGCCTGTCATAAGTGGTTCACAAAAAAAGAAAAAAGTCCAGGTAGTGCCAGTTGAGTATCCATTATCCAAAATGATTGGAAACAAAAGTGTTTCAGATTTCAGTTTTGTTTTTGATTTTTTATGGGGGGGGTGTTTGAAGTACTTGCATATATATCATAAGATCTAGAGGAAGGAAGAAACCCTAACCCTAAGAACACAATTCATTTATGTATCATATACGCCTTAATAAACATAGTCTGGAGGTAATTTTATGTAGTATTTTTAATAATTATGTGCATGAAACAAAGTTTTGGCTGTTTTGACTACCATCCATTACACAAAGTCAGGTGTAAAATTTCCCACCTGTGGGATTAATGGTGGCTTTCAGAAAGTTACATCTTCCAAGCTACAATAATATAACTAGCTGTTGGTATAATGGTTAAAGAGCTTTGGAGTCCGTCAAATTTAGACTCAACTCCCAAGTCTCTCTCTCTAGCTAGGCAACCTTGATCAACTTAAAACTCCTTAAGATCTTAGATTTCTACTTTAAAATGGTGATTAACTGAGCATGGTGGCTCCTGCCTGCAATGCCATCACTTTGCGAAGCAGTTCGGCCGTGTGAGGCCAGGAGTTCAAGACCAGCCTAGGCAACACAGCAAGACCCTGTCTAAAAAAAAAAAAAAAAAAAGAGTGAGGGGGTAGGGGTGTCCACACTTATCCCATAAGGCTTTTGTTGAAAATTAAACGAAAAAGTAAAATTACTTATTAGTGCCCAGCACATAAAAGCTTAACAAATAAGTTATTAACAAAAGACTATGACACACTACAACAAGACTTTCCAAGCACACTGAAATATTGTTAGGAGGAGAAATTACAACCCTTCGTTTTCATATTTAAATGAATTTGATGTTTTTTAACTCTAATTTTTATGCTATCCAATTTAATAGAGGAAGATGAAGGGGGTAAAGATAGGCAGAATTTCTGTAAAGAATTTCCGAGGTCTTCTGGGCCTGGTTTTCAATCAGGCTCCACTTCAGAAATGCTTCTTTTATTATTATTCCTGTTTTAGAGAGAAGAAAGGAAGGTCATAAGGGTAAGGTTAGCATTTAAGGAACAAGAGAGGCAGGATAAGGAAAGAAATCTGAGTCAGAAAGTACCTACAACCACAACTAACCAAGGAAGTAAGTACTGTTGCCACTGTGGAAGGCTGGTAAGAGTCTTAAGTTAATACTCAAGCATTACACTGCTGGTTTTCATACTCCTCAAAACAAATGTTGGCTCCACCAACCTATACCTTCAAGACCCAAAGATAAGCCATCCACAAAATTGTCCCTCCAAAGAAACTAGAGAGGTTCCCAAATAGTCACAGATAAATGGCTGGCTTACCTGTCAGGAGTCTGAAAGGGAGTACTACTATCTAGGGAGCTTCTACAAACAAGAATTACTAGAACTGTTAGGAAAAGTGCCTGTTAAGTTAAACTTGTTTGGAACCCAGATTCCGCAAAGGCAACAATCTGAGATTCTTTGGGGTGGTATTTTTTACCTTTATCTAAAATAAACTTATTCTTATCCCTTTTCATAATTTGGACTTAATCACACATACAAAACCAAATCGCCCTGAAAATAACACTTTCCAAAAATAATCAATTTCTGAGAAGGCACAGAGGAGACTTTTTCTATTAGAATTAACAGAAAGCTGATCAACATTGACATTATCAATACCTGCATCACTAGGCTGGTGTGGTGCAAGCTACTGGGGAGAAATGCTTGAATCCAAGAGTTCAGAGTCCAACCTGGGTTACATGGGGAAATCCTACCTATTTAAAAGAAAAGGGAGGGGGGGAGACTAGGTGTGGTAGATCATGACTGTAATCCCAGCACTTTGGTGGCTGAGGAGGAAGGACTGCTGGAGAACTGCTTGAAGCCAGGAATTCGAGGCTGCAATGAGCTATTACGGAGCCACTACAGTCCAGCCTGCATAACAGAGATCCTGCCTTTAAAAAAAAAAAAGTCAGACTTTGTGGCTCAAGCTTATAATCCCAGCACTCTTTGGGAAGCTAAGGCAACAGGATTGCCTGAATCCAGGGGTTCCAGACCCGCCCAGGCAACTTGGCAAGACCTCGTCTCTACGATAAATCAAATTAGCCGAGCATGGTAGCCCACACTTGTAGTTCCAGCTACTTGGAAGGTTGAGGAGGAAGAATCGCTGGAGCCCAGCAGGTTGAGGCTGCGGTGGCCGGCAGCGTGTCACTGCACTCCAGTCTGGGTGACAGTGAGACTACAACTCAGAAAAAAAAATAATAATAATAAGTTAAAAATCATATGAAAATTTAAAACTCTATTAAAAGGTACCACCTTTTTGAGCTGTATACTTAACTCAGTAAAAATATTTAACTGTTTATTATTTAGCCCACTATTATGTGTTCAAGAAAGTGATAAAAATGTATTTGGTAATCAAGAGAATGGTAAGACTATGATTATGATCTTTTAAAAATACTATAATCTTTTTGACAGGGGACAGAAGGAATAATTTAAATTACTGCATTGCAAGTCTAGCTAAATAAGGACAAGGTTTTAAAATAGACATGTATTACCATTTATCTTGCAACATATATTAGAAAAGACCAAGTTGACTTATAGTAACTTAGTCTACGTAGTTATTCAATAAATTAAAATAAATGTTCAGTTTCATGTGGAGTCAACCTGAAAATTTAAATGATGCAGTAAAAACAAAAGCCTTGGCCTCAGAAAACTTGTTTTTGTAAAGTCCAGCTTCTTGAAGTGACCTTGTGCAAGACTTAAAATTCAATTTCAATTAAATGCTTGCTGTATGTTAGATGCCAGATACTGCACTGACACTTGGAAATATAAGCAAATCATGGTTCCTGTCATTAATTAATTAGGAAAAGAGAAGCAGGTATAAACAGACACTAAACTTCCTTAAATGTATATGTTCATACAGTAAGCATTTACTAAGCATTAGTGTGCCACACTGCTCGATACCAAGCATAAAAGAATCAAGACCAGAATCCCATAATAGTTTTAAAGGAGAGAAAGAGAAAAACTATCCTGTCTTTTTCAGGGATTGTTGTGGTAATCATAAAGCACTATTGAGATGTAAAAGTAAGACAAATCCAAAACCATTTATGCCACCACACCCAAAAAAAAGGATTAATGAAATTAGATTGTACAATTATGCTCAGAGTTATTATAACCAAAATGCCCTTTGAGTTTCTTTATAAAAGACAAACTTTATGAAAGGTCAACTTCTGTAAAATGCTGGCCATTTGTGGAAAAATTACATAGGACATAGGAAACATAAATGGTGTACATAAAGGTAGCTAAAAATAAAAACTATTTTTAACTCAACATATCCAGGAAATTATACCATACATTTTGCTTAGACAACAATACTAACCACTGATCAACAAGGGCATTTAACTATTCTGAATTTGTTTTAATTACCTTGAGATTAAGGAGAAAACTAAAAAATCCTTGGCCATGTTGAAATTAGTAATGACACAGTTACCAAAACAGGCAAGAGAGTAAGCTGCTTGCTGGAGCTTGTTCTGCCTCCCTCTCCCCCCTCTCCTTGGAAAAACTGCATGCAATGTTGCACGACCACACAAAATAAATACAGGAAAGAGGCTGGGAGGGTTGGGTGGGGAGGTGAGCAAAGCTCTGGGCTCCACCAGTGGAAGGCGTTCCACCAGAATTGCTACAGGGTCAAAAGTTTACAGTGGTTTCAATTTCACCTTTTAGCAGCCAATCAGGAAACAGAGACTGCATGCTGACCCCTCAGGCTGCAAATGAACATTAACTCATTGGCTACCAGGAGTGTGTATATTCCCTTTCTTATAAGGCTTTTTTACTTTTTTTTTTTTAAATAGGAAGGGGGTGGAGAAGGCAAAGAACACTGTTAAGTTTAAGGTGACGATTTTATTTCAGACCATGTATTTTAAACAGGTGTTTGTGCGGAGAAATGGTCAGGTAATTATCTTTTCTCCTTGAAATCTGAGTTTCTTCAT